GTAGGGTTTGAGGTTTTCATGGCAGTGAAAGTCTAGTCTACTGAAGACGACAACACACACTAAAAGAGGGAATAACACAAGCAAGGGGTATATTGCAGATTGCAGACGGGCTAACGAAACAGAAAAACAAGCTGCTGAAACAAACTGTCTGGAATATCATATAGCTTTAAACAAGTGGACGATGCCCCTTACTAGGTGGAATAGGATTTTATGAAAGATTTTAATAGAAAAATTGTAATGAATTTAAGTAATTATGTATGGTATTTTAAGTGGACTGCAACGTGCAATTTTAGTGCGCATCAAAGCAGTGTAAGAGTTTGGACTCATTGAAACACCTGAGGATGGCCGTCTGTGGCCAAAACATGTTGTGTTGCCACCACCTTGCCTGCATTCCAGAGCGATGACAGCCTGAACTCCGAGGCCGAACAGGAGATCAGTCATGTTTCGTGGCCACTGATGAAGGGACATCAGTGATGATCACGAGGCCAGATGTCACTGCAGGACTGCTCGAGAGGACTGAGCCTGCCATACGTGCTGCAGATGGCGTCGGTGGAGACCGTACCCGTTTGAAGGGAGCGTTATTAGAATTGATCCTGAAGTAGCGACCAACTGATGACTCGGGCGTTCGTCGCCAAGATCATCCTGAGGCTGGATGGTTTGCGGGTCCACGATGCTTTCATAGATTTAGGACGCCGTGTGCTACGACTGGACGCGGGTGAAGTGCCGTTAATGCCCCATAGAGCACGAACACATTCTCTCTCTCATACGAAGAGAAGCAGTAAGGTTATAGAGACTGTGTGCGAGAGTTGTTGTGGTGATATTACAATGTTCCCTGGAGGCGGTGGATAATCCAGCTTAACCGGGTTTCAAAGCTGCCCAGAGAGCTGTAGTGCCCAGGGTGAGGACTCTGGTTTATTCCTGAATGAAGGTGCTTTTAGGATGGCTGAAGACCGCTAGTGGCGGAAGCACACTAATGGAGACACCCCCAGGAGGTTCACGAGGCCGAATGTGCCACGTGAAGGAGGGTGATTGATGCCGACTTGTGAAAGTTGTACAAGGAATGAAAGCTTGACAACGTGCTAAGTGGAAGGAGAAGAGCCGCGTCCAGTATATAGTTGTGGCGTCATTCTCAATGGTGGTCACGAAGGTAACAAGAAGACCTCCCATATTGGAAGAAATGACAGTACACTTGTAGGCCTCATGGAAGGAGCAATGTGACGTGACGTCTAGATGTAAGAACATTGAAATTAGAAATGTTGCAGAGGCGTTCGTCAGTAGGTAACCTCAGATACGAATCACCGACCGGTACTTAGGCGCACATCAAGTGAAGAACTGCTGGCCAGTGTCTTCAGGTCACTCCGCAACAAAGCAATATACACAAGCCGACAGAAGAGTAAGTCTGTCGGCATGATTCCCATAGCCGTCAGACAGAAAAATACGGCCATGAGTCCCGCGGGACCAGGAACCAAGAATGATGTGCGAACTGCCCACATTCGAGCAAAAGTTATAGTGACAGCTCAGGTATCATTGCTTAGCAACGGAGAGTAAACAGTTGTTGCCAGGTAAGGTCTACAAAAATGTGTGTCTGTGGGAAGCACCCAAGTGGACCGAGTGTTAGCCAATCACAAGCTAGGAACCATTCGCTGCTTAGCAACGGCTGAGCAAACAGCCGGTGCTAGGTAAAGCCTACAACAATGCGGGCAGTGACAAGTTTTATATAGGTCTGACTAAAGGTTAAATAAGGAGATACATTTAGTGGGAGTTTGGAGTTCCAGTTCAGAGTTTCGTTTCAGTATGACGTTCAAGGTGTTAAAGAGGCGGTCACAGTGTACACTATTGTTGTTATGTTATTAGTCTTCAGCATACGACCTTCAGTTCGTCAAGTTTGTCTGTGCATACTGTTCAACTATAATAAATATTTATAGAAAAGTTCAACAAGTGGTTGTCTCTTCATACAACGACATCCCACACTGGCGACGCCAGCAGAACTTTACCCGAATCAGAACCCCACAGAAAAGTCCCCGTTATCAGAACACGAATTGTAGCAACATATTTGTGACGGCAGAGCCAACAAACAGTGATGTAACAGATTACGAAACGATGGTGCATATTTGCATAACGTGTAATTATTTTACATACGACTGTTCAGTGCCAAACAAATCTAATTATTAATTCTAACCCTGTGTGTAGTAACTATTGTGGGACAGTATGCAATGTTTTCATCCGATATCATAGCTATGCATTTAACGAATCTCGAAATAATATTGTGACATGACGTCTGAAAGCCGCAATAGTGGAGGCAGAGCCAGGCCCCCATTGTTAGACATCAGCTCGGTAATCATATTTCCACAGCAACGAATGTGACTGAAGAATCAATGCATTGCATACAGAGTCACGTCGGTTCATAGGCAATGCATACAGAAACATATCCGTTCGCACGACAACAATCTTCCAAAGCAAAGTAACAGTGAAGAACATGATAATTCTACTGTTCAAGGAGGTGACCTCCATAGAGTTCAACCAGAACCTACCTCTGGAAGAGAATTGACCAACCGAAGACAGAAGACAAACAGAAGTCAGAAGAAGTCAGAAGTGAAGTCTCTTATTTTATGTGCTGTAGTTACACTAACCTTTAGAGTGTTATCATTGCTCATACGTGGGTTACTTTGAAAGCCATGACAACACAATTTTTCTGAAATTTCGAAAGCTCCGACCAGAATTTCCAAATTTGCCGCTGAGAGACAGCAACATCCGATTTTTAATGATGCCGCTAGAAGATGTGGAAGTCCAAGGACAACGAAGCGAGTCCAGCGCGAAGTCAGTATGATCATAATCTTCGTCGAGCATGAACGTTGGCTGGCTGGAACAGCGTTGTTACGTGAAAATAGCAGTGCTCCACGGCAGAAATGCGACTGAATGTCACTCAGAGCTTGCGGAAGCTCTGGGTGATCGTGCTCTACCATACAGAACTGTTGCAAGGTGGATATAAGCATTCCAACGTGGAAGAGAAGCAAGTGCCGACTTGCAACGTAGTGGACGCCCTGTGTCCGTTCATACCAATGTTTCTCGTGCCGTGATCGCCCAGTGCAAGGAGGAAGATAGGCGCTGGTCTCTGAAAGAGTTAGGCATACAGGGATTGACCAGGCAACTGTGCATCGAATTTTACGAAAAGACCTACACATGCGCAAGATTGCAGCGAAGTGGGTGCCACATGAATTAAACGAGGTTCAAAAGTGGACACTGTATGAAGCCAGTCGTGTGAACCTCGAAGGATATGAAATTGAAAGAGACAATTTATTGAATTGGATAATTTCCATCGATGAAATATGAAACATTGAATATTTTATTTTTTAATCACAGTTGAATTTTTCGATGATTAAAGAATGAAAAAAAAACAGTCATTCCGTAATGTGCAATTTTTCTTGCGTACTATACCTACGCCCCTTCACATCTACCTGATCTGACTAAGCCAATCGGAGGGTTATATCATGCCCTTTCATAAGTATATTTTTGACTTTCTTCATTGTAACGTGTTTGCCCCCCCAAAATTAGTTGACTTTTGAAGTAACCGACGTAGTTACAAAGTGCTATAGTTACAGTAAGACTGTGTTACAAATAATTTTAGTTCCACATGGCGAATATCCAATAAATTGGTTCACCTAATATGGAACCCATTAATTACTTGTCTCATTACCAGGATACAGGACAATATTATGTTCATCACTATTTCAGACACATATTGTCTTGTCAGTCATCTCACCACTTATGATTCTGATGTCTGTTCTTTCTTGTCCAGTACTGTTTCACCATGTACCACTGCACTTTCCTCGGGATAAGGCAACACACTTACCACACACCTCCATCTATTGCCATGGTCGTGAAAGGTGGAACTATAAATCCACACCCCCATATGTCTTCATGGCTTAGTCTAATTAATTAAGAACAACTTTATGTTTTCTTACCTTTTACATTTCCCAAACCGACATAATAGGCCCTTGCTATAATATGATTTTACTTTCTTGTACAAGAGAAGCAGTTTATACCATAATGTGAGAGAATGAGAAAGAGAGGGTTTTGAAACAGCTTTAGTTAAAGTCTAGGTGTAGCACTGGTCTTTGACTGGTAGTGGATATGCCTGAGGTTGCTGATGTACTGAGGTTATAAGTAATCTTGCAAACAAAATTAAATGAACATGCAAGATCTGTGCTATTTGTAATGTAGCCAAAATGATGTATGGTTACAGAATGTCTGAGTATAGTTACTACCATGATTGTAGTTTATGCGTTTGACATCTTACACATTATTTCTTTCCTAGGTATCCATCACAACATAAATGCTAAATTTTGTCAAAATATGAAATTGCTCAGAATGAGGCAGAAATACTTTCAGAATAAATATATAAGTGAGTTCAGTTTTTAGTGTACCACTCTGTGTTCAGATTCTGATCTTCTGTGCTGTGATACCACGTTGTCCTATTGGTAGATACTGATATTTCACAGGAGTGTACTATCAAGTTTGACACTTGAATGTGCTGTCTCTATCCTGAGGGTTGATACTTCAACCCTGATGATGGAGAAAGCATGTCCCTCTGAAACATCAGTATCTGCCAACAAGACTACATGATGTCTTGACCTTAAGACCGGAATATGAACAAATCACTGATGAGATTATCACAAAACTTTCACCACTGATCCTATTGGTGCTGACAAGAAAATGGGAACTTTGTTTTATTCCTGCTTAGAAGTAGTGATGTTTCTATTTCAGTTTGTCTGCTTCTAGTACTGTGTTGTTAAACTAAACATTTAAAAAGAGAAAGCAATAAACATCTAAACGTATTTTTATAATATCTGATTGAATTGCTATAAAATCTCACCCTACTTGAAGTGAACTTGAACTTTATCTGTGTGTGAATCTAAGCTTATATATAAAGCATTTTGTACATTGTGTGTATGTTTATTATTTAATTTGTTTCATTTTCATGCTATGTTTGTGTCGTCCAGTTTTGTCAGCACGCACCTGGCCATCATGTAAGTGTCACTCACAACTGGGGCTAATCCAGTGCTTAAAGTGTGTCTGCTGGATTCATCTTTGAATTTGTATTCCAATTTATATGAATAATGGTGTAAATAATTGGGTTTTTAGAACGGAATAACATTGCTAGACAAAGATGCATTTTTAGTAAGAGCTCTTAAGTAAATTCATAATAACATTTCTTAAAATGAAATTGCATCGGTGCAGCTATTTGTGTCACATAACAAAAAATTTACAGTTGTTCAGATATTAGGCATATTCTGTTAAATATGTTGGCATAAAGGTATAAAGCCAGTCTGAACTTCTTTCATACTTTCAGTGACAATGTTCTATAAGTATACTTCTTCAGTCATTTGAAATTCTGTTTAATCCAAGCCAAAGAGGGGCTCAGTTGTGTTAATTTCATGCCTAATTTTAACACTCTTATAACTATGTGAAGCTGTTTTTTCAGTCAAAATTACTAGAATAGCACTGTAGCCTAGCTACTAAACTCCATTATAAAGAGAGATTTTGCAGGCAGGCAGTCACAGTATGTTGTATGTTATGAAAAGCCATATATGAATGTCATTTGAGGTTAAATACAGAATTTTTAAAAAGTTGAGCAGCTATCTGATATTGTACTAAATTTGCCATTAATCATCATGAACATATCACTGAAACAGTTATATAAATGTGTGAATGTTTATGTTAGACAATCATTATTTCCTTGAGAAGATATATTTAATTTGTGTCAGGAGAGTAACAGAGTGTTGCTGTACTTTAAAGTTACTTTAAACATACTGTCTTCTGAGATGTGACACCATGTAGTCTGATACAACCAAAATTTCAGAGGAATCTAACCACGTTTATTTTCAGGGTAGATATGCTTGAACCATGAAGATAGAGGCGCTACATTCCTCCAAAACACTTATACCTATCTACCAGTCTACATGGCATCATTTCCCAGGAGACTATAATCTTAATATTCATCACCTTGTTAACTTCAGGTCTCATATAGTTACAAATATTAACTTTTAATTTTGGCAGTATCATACTTCAGGCACATGGGCACCAGTTGGCCCTCCAGGTTGCGGGAGTCTCAGTGAAATGTCACTTCACTGGTGAAGGCCAGTAGCAATTATGAACGACAGACCCATTCAATTGTCAGAGAAGGTGTTACATGAGGACTGTTGAGTTGAAAAAATTACTGATCATGAGTCTCAAGGGGCTTGTCGCTAAGACAAAATGATTGGCGGTAAACCTCCAGTAGTGAAGTAACTCTGACTGTGACACTAATTAATTCGCCTAGTGAGGGGTGGAGTGCAACTGGGTTCACTCGGCATAGCGGCCACTGATTGGCCTGTTGTACCTGCCCTGGGTGTTTATGATGATGGAGAATTTGGTGGAATGAAGATTGGCAGGGGAAACTGAAGTACTTGGAGAAAACCTACCCCAGCGTCACTTTGTCCACCAAATATCCCACTTGACCAGACCCAGGATTGAGCCCAGGCCACCGTGGTGGGAAACCAGCGACTAACTGCTTGAGCTATGGCGCGGCCAATGTAAGGAAGATAATTAGGGAGACTTAGTCTCTCTGAGTTAGTTAGTGCAGTGCACTACAGGGAAGGGAAGAGCTGATTGGTGAGTTAATGATTTAGAGAACTGCAGTTTAGTGGTTGTGAGCTGTTGCTGTTAGAATCTGGTGGCTGAGGCGTGGAGATAGTTTGGGAATCCAGAGTAAGAGGAACCTCTCCTGTTGGAGGTAACAACTGATGAACACACTGCGGACTGAAAAGACTTCGTATGGGCTGTAGCGAATTGCTGAGTGTGTGAATTAGTGATAGCCCTATAGTTACTTGTAGTTATGATCTGTAAGTGGTCAATAAATCCAGTTACCAATCAAAAACCTATTTATAGTCACTCACACCTGTGACAACAGACAAACTTTCTGATACATGTTCTGTGAATCTGTTACCTAGGGCAAGAGGGTGGATCCATCATCAGGGAAAAATCTTGCTAATGTATGTGAAATACATTAGTCTTCAAATTATTAGCCTAACAGAATCCTGTAACTAGAACTCTGTTAAGCCCAAGACTATAAATCTCTTCAATAAATATTATGTATTTGCAGTAAGAAGCTATTCCATTTTGTTTTCCATCTGTGGCAACTAATTAGTAGGTTTATTTGATGAAAGCACACACTTTGAGCCCTGGATACCCCACACAGCATGGATTTAAACATACATGACTTATTGTATTGATACCATAGTGAGACTGGTGCTCTCTTTGTATACAGCCTGATTTAATTAAGATATTTAAGGAATGGCCTTCAATTTGTAAAATATGAAACATCCAAGAAGTGTTTTGTTTACAGATTTAGGTTTTAAAAATATATCTTAAAATAGACATGTATGAGACTTTCCCCCAAGCTAATGCTATTTAGTACTGCTTTTGTAAGCATTGTATACAGCACACTTGGAAACTGAGGCCATACATATTCACTTAATTTTTTTACTCTTCATGTTGTCACTATCACATATCTTACATAATATACTTTTTCAGCAGTGAAATCTTCAGTTTCAGTCTACTGATACAGGCCATGTCTGATTTGTATCTGGGACACTTCCTATAAATTGCGACATCTATTAAAATAACGTAAATTTGACATGTTCTTCCTGCATATTTATTTGTTAGAAAGAGGAAGTTTATTCCTGGTACCAAATTTTTGGACTTGGTGACAGACTGTTCGCTCTGTTTACCTATTTATTATAGATATTACAGATATTAAACAATTTAATATAGCATTCAAACAAGGAAACAATAAAAATAAACACATGTGAGCTTATATGTAAATAGTTTGTATATACTGATCACAACATATTATTCACATTTTCAAAAGTCAGAGGTGGAAGACTGGACAGACTTTTGCTCTTTATAGCAGTACAGTCAGAACTCTGCTACTCTTGCTGCATTGTTTCATGTTTGGATCATTTTGAACGAGATTGGTCATCACCTTACCAAACATCTGAAGATTTCAAACATTCTCTCTGTCATCAACTATTTTGCTTGTGGTGTAGGTTGCATTTCCTCTTTCCCTGGCACTCTTACCTTTTTTTTTTTTTTTGTAGCTTCAGTGTAGTTGGATCCTTTTAGATCTGTTCATTACTCTGCAGTTCCAGCATCTCCTCCACTATGCATTGATCCATTTAATTAAAGCCAGTCTTCTTTTCCAGTTCCAAATTTTGCAGCTTAATTTCAAGTATAATGGAAAATTACGGGGCACTGTGAGCGCAGACCAGTCCTGTAATTACACTATGCCTTTCACTGTAGCATGAGTGACCTCCTCACATGATACCCTAATCTTATCCATGGACTTCTAGATATTGTAGCACCTCCAGAACCCCCAACCTCATGGATTTTCATAACCACCTGTCTTGGTGAGCAGCTGCCACATACTCCACCAAAGGTAACAGACCTTGAATATGCTGTCCACCTTTGGTTCATCCGTTGCAAAAAAGAAGTTACATTTGGCGGCATGAGAATAAATACTTTTTCAACCAGGTCTTCACAGTTCACAGGACGACCAGGTTCATTGTTCAAAACAAGTAAGGATCTTTTAAAGAGATTTTGTTCCCTAGAATTCTTCTCAAGACATGGAGAGAGGATGTTACCTAGCCCTGTGGTTGACTCAGCCTCTAACAGAAATGAGTACCAGGAATTAATTAAATAATTTTCCTGGGGAGTAAAGCACGGCTGGCACATAAGGCTGACAACCTTACCGCCATCTTTGAGCCAATTGTCTAGATAATGTGGGACCCTCAACTTCTCACAACCCTATGGCCCTTCACGGCCTGTTACAGGGATAGCTTTACTTTTTTAATTAGTAATATGCATTGAATCTCTGAAGATGACATTTTTAATCACTCAGCTATTCATGCAGTGCCACCACCATCGCATTTGACTTCCTGTACTCCCAATAAATGTACCTTATACTTTGGTATTTGCCTTGTAACTGTTGTCAGTGAACCTGCAATATGGAGACTCCTTTTATTTCATGTGTCAAATATCATGTCTATTTTCCTTTGTGTATGTCACTCCAAAGAATCCATTGAAGTCCCTGCGTAACATTTGTGAGAAACTTGTTTCTTTTTTATGGTGAGTTTATGTTCCCACTCGCAACCTCCAGGTTGGAGGACCACCCATTGTCGTCTGTCCGCGATTTCTTATTGACCATATTCGCAGGTAACCTGCATATCTGGAGGCTATCTCCTACATCTGCAACCTGAGGACATGTCATGCTGTGGTGACAAAGGACCCTCTTAACATGGTGACCTTTTCAGCATTCACCTTAATCTTATAATTGTTTTTATTGTTGTTCTGACTATTATTGGAGGAAAATTAAGTGCATATGGAGTGTCTGGATCACACTATCCTCTCTCAGAACAATTCACTACAGTTTTGAAGCTTGGCAAATAATAATCCCGAAATATGAACAGTTAAACTTCTATAACCTATGATATTTGTATTGGAACTGGATCATAAATGTATCAGAGCTAGTCCACTCAACCTGACATTATCCCATCATGTAATTGAAATGTGCCAATCTCGTGGGCACAGCAGAAAGTTAAAGACTTACTCCACAAGTCTGATATCTTACCCTGTTGGCCATTAAAATAGTTTAATTTAGTAGGATTTCAGTAGTAGAGGACAAACAACTAATGATTATTCATCAGCCATTTTCTGATGCCACATAAATTCTGGATTTAATACATTATTATTAAATACAAGAAATACATGCCATATACCATTTATATATTTCTCAATTATATGTCTGCCTGTATCCAAATTTATTGGTAAAGCAGGATTTTGTGGATCAGTGTACAAGATACAAGTTACAAATAAAAGCATAAAATATACTGAATACAAATATTTTAATAAACATGTCAAATTTATAACAACATACACTTATACACAGTCAATACATAGAGTCATGTTTTAGAATTTTAGTCATATTTGTATTCTGTTAATAACTACCGGTGTAAGTAACATGCTTCACTACTGATTGTAGTAGTGTTTTTGAAGTGCTCATAAAAGGAATTCGTTTCCTATGCACATATGTATAGGTATTTCTCTTTAAATATGAGTCCAAATAATGTAATTACTTTTTAATGCAATCATCTAATTTATGCTAATTTCAACTAATAGCACTCGCTTTAAAAATTCCTTGCTGGTGAGAAATGTGAGTAGAGTATTATGTGGGAGGTGAGGAAGAATGCAAGTGGAGAAGAACAGATTATATTTGATTTATGCAATTTCATCACATGACTTAATTTTGGAACATAACTGTCACAGAAATGAGGAGTACCTGTACCTAAACCTGTTATAAATACACCACATATTTCCTTATTAATGCATTATAATATCCAATTAAGAACTACACTAAATATTAATATTTTTATAAAATATACCCTAATGAGTACAATTGTTGTGATCACTGAAATAAAGATATTACCAACATATTAAAAACTGATTTAGATGATTATTCAAGTGAAAATAGTGAATAGTTACTAATAATTATTGCTTTCTTTGTTTTTTTTATGAACCAAGGAACTCAAAGAGGCATGCAAGGTAAGTACAAAATAATAATTGAAAAAATGTTACAATTCTCATAACATATGTGTACATGATTTTAAACCCGGTAACAAATCACTGCAATAGAAACTCTTTTTGTACACAAAAGTGGAAAATGAACTGTCTGTATGCAAACCTTACTTTGGTAAGTTCTCTGACTTGCATATTGTGTTTTACAGATGTCCTTAGCTTCTTAGTTGCACTATCAGTTATTGTTGTATACTGATGATTGTGAGAACATAAATATCATAAACACACAGGAATTCTTTGAGGTGCTAGTAAGGCGACTGGTTTTGGAGCAGATTTGCCCAGCAGTTTTTGTGTGGGCAACTTAGATATAATTTGGTTTGCATACCGACGACATGAAGTTTAACAAATAAAATTTAGAATGTGAAAAGTATACGTACAATTACATATATACTATTATCTTTGATTCTTCATGTCATGCCTAGTGAAAGTATACTGTTGATATGAAAATTTATGAAATTTCAATTCCCAACCTAGGTTAGTGAATTTGTTTTAGCACAGTATTACAAAATTAATTAGTGCTGTACTGTATGTCTCCATTAATAAAAAGGTCATTACAGTTTTAAAATATTGTGACATAAAGCTGAAAGCCGGAATACTGGAGCCGGAAGAGTAGGCCGTTGCTGTCAAATGGAAGGCAAAGACACGCCTACATTGGTTGTGAGATGGTCGCCAGCAGGCAAGGACGTGAGCAGAGAAGCTGAAATATCTCCATTGTTAGAAGCCGTTGTCAGGCAACAGTCAGTAAAGACGTAGAGTATTTTTGTGTGTGCTGTAGCTGCAGCGATCTGTAGGTTACGTAAATCAGTGAGAGCATTATAAATTATAAGAACTTATGAGTTATAAGTGTTCAATAAATCCAATTACCAGTCCAAATCCAGTGTCTGGTCACTAATACATGGCATTATTGTGCACATTGTTGTAAGGCGAAACCTTAGAAAACAGAATAATATAAGCTGATTCATATATTAATTTCGTTTTTATCATAACAATTGTCCCCAAAGAACCCATAGAATAGTCTTAAGAAACATGAAAAACGATAATTTAACAGATACCAAACCCATTTAATAAATCCTATAATTTTCTTTGTTTGATTTAAGAATACAGTATGATCATTTGTAATGTTTTGTTACATTTAGGAATGTATTTTGCAGCTGACACTTCCATGCAATAATTTATGTGTATCAATTAATAGTGACCTGTATTCTGAATCAGCACTTTCGTTCATGAAAACCCTGGTTCACTTAAGCAGGACCAAAACATTCATTCGCCTCTAAAGCCACCCGTTGTACAGTAGGACACTGTGCAAAGCACTTAGTTCCAGAAGTTTATGTCGTTCACTCTTGTTTCAGTGGCAGGTTTGAAAATTAGTAATATGAAGTTCCAGTTCAATTACATGTTCATTTAATACAGAAGTTCATAATTTTCGCTTATACATGTACACTGTGTTTCCAGGTTCTATTAGGACTGTGTTCATTAAAAATACGAGATGTGAATTATTTTCAAAATTTCACGCGTTTTATTCAAAATAGTCTCCTTCTGAATCAATACATAGCTGGAATCAATTGAAAAGTTTTCGAAAACAGTCACTATACTCCTTTTGTGGAATAGCATTTAAAACTGCGGTACATTCCCTTTGGATGTCCTGGATGTGTGTCGGTCTCCTTTCATCGTCAACTTAACTTTTGGGAACAACCAAAAATCTGCTGGAGCCAAATCTGGCGAATACAGAGGATGATCAAGGACTGTGATCCCTTTTCTGGCCAAAAAAATCTCCCACGATCTTCGATTTGTGGGGTGGGCATTGTCGTGGAGGAGCGACCAGGAACCTTGCACTCGATATTCAGGTCTAATTCGAAGAATTCTCGTCCACAAACGATTGAGGACTGCGAGATAATAATGAGAATTCATTGTTTGACCTTCTAGCAGAAATTCCTTATGAACGATTCCTCTGGAATCGAAGAAAACGGTTAGCAGTGTCTTTACTCGACTCTTTTGCGTGCGCACTTTCTTTCGTTTCGGGGTCTCTGGGCTCAACCACGCTACACTCTGCCGCTTTGTGATAGGCTCATATTGAAAACACCATGTCTCGTCACCAGTAACGATCGATTTTGTAAATTTTGTATCACTTTGGACCGACCGTAACATGTTTTTGCAGTGTTCCACTCTGGCATGTTTTTCATCGCCTGACAGCGCGTGAGGTACAAACCTCGCACAGACCTTCCGTTTGCCCAAATCCTCGGTCAAAATTTGATGCACAGTACTTTTTGGTATTCCCAAAAGCTCCTCTATGAGTCTTGCAGAACACATCTGTCTGATGCAAGGATTTCGATAACTTTTTTCACATTTTCTTCAGTGCGACTTGGTCTCGACTTTGATACATGTGAAGCGTCTTCAATGCCCTCCCTGCCGTCACGAAATAGGCATACCATTGAAAAATATTCGAGCGACTCAAACAATCACTACCATACACACTTTTCATCATTTCGTACGCTTCTCCGGCTGTTTTGCCTAACTTCAAACAAAATTTGATGTTGGCTCTCTGTTCAATCGCCATTTTCCGACGAGCGTCAGAACGGTCAGAACAGCACTGTTACATTCAAGGTCATAATGGATGATGCAGCAATGCTTGCGCTTTGAAATTATTGACAGCCACAGCTGAAAATTCAAGAATCTTAACGCCACAACTCGCCAACAGATGGCATTGCAGGGCAAAAAAAAAAAAGTCCTAACGGATGCTGGACACAACATATATTCCTCTCTTGAAACGAGTTGTTAGCGAAAGACAATGAAATTCATGCGTTGAAATTCTTTAAATAATCATGCAGATTCCTTTAATAATCTGTCAATACACCGAATGTAGACGTACACATCAAGTGCGAGACAAGAGAATGGAAGCGGACAGAAATACCGCACGGGAAGAAATCGAAGTCGAAAGAGACGAAGAGAAGATAGCCTGCCAAGAAACGAAGGAGGCACTTCTGGAAGAAGAAGAGTCGACCTAAGTGAACACGAAACCTGAGATGGCACGACAGGTCCCTAGGGAAGACGCGGAAATAATGCCGGTCGGGGGACCGAGGAAGCGGCGTAGGAACCGAAATCTGGCTGCGGGACGCCGCCAGAAAGCGAAGGAGACGACACGGGAAAGGTGTGGATCCCGGAAGTGATTGGCCGTAGCCCGCAGACGGACGACCCACCGTGCGAAAGTGGTAGGGCAGAAGAATTTTCTTTTTTCTGGGAGAAACCGCAACAGGGTCATGGTTGAGCGAGCAACCCAGAGAGTAGAGCCGCTCCAGAAGAATTTACGGACAGTCGACGAGAGCTAAGGACAGTTGAGCAGATGACACTTCACCGGGATTAGCGGTACGAGAGTGCATAACATTGAAACGGAAGCGTCCGAAGGCGTTATAAGTGCGAACAATTTTATTTGTTATTGTAAAGGGCGATTGTCCAATAAATATTCGTCCAAAGCCTAGACCCACACAATTTCTTGTCCCGTTGCTTAGGAAACACGCGACAGCGTATATCATCATTGCCGCTGCTGTGATAAGTCATTTTCTCTTCCTTTCACAAGAACACTAAGAATATTGAACCATTCGTATATAACATAGAAAACACAAGAAAGCCACACAAACATTCCCCTAGAAGCGTACTAAGAGCATGGGCCTGTCGAATTTATACTGCAAACCATTCAGCCGTTCAGCTGAAGAGGTGAGCTAAGGATTGTTTCCACCATATGTTGTGTTTCACATTGCGTAATTTTTAACTTGGGTGCCCTCTTTTGCACACTAAAACCTTCTCTAAGGACAACAATGAAAACATTACAAATAAATCGCTGACGATGGCTCCACATATGCAGGTCGTTAACTAGAAAACATCCCCATTATTTTACACATCAGCAGTCGTTGACGAAGTTATTCTAATCCCAGCAAAGAACTAATGCCAACATACGGAGTCATCGTAGGGTCACTTGGGAATCTAGAAGTTGTGTCAGTTTTCTTTCCTAGTTCACTAGGAAACGGGTGGACTTTTTTTTTTCGGACTTCTATCGCAACGTTGCCAAGGAAAAGGCTGAAAAACATTTCCTTATTTCAAATGATTCCATGTGCAATGTCAAAATTTGTCACGGTAGGCATGTTGCCAGCCAGCTACAGGTTGTTCGCCCCTGGCCTAGAGGTTAATGTAAAGGCAAAAAGGCAAAAGAGTGACGTCCCTGTGCTTAATTAATTAAGCACTATCCAGGAAAACATGGGAGAGTAGGTATAGCTCCACCCAATGTTCTATCCAGTGGGTATTGTGTGATCTTTCTTCCGTGACAAAGAGGCTGGAACGTGAAGCTAAGCACTTAGCACCATCTAGTGTCGAGGTCGAGAATGGTGGAGCTAGGTGTTAGTGCAAAGAAAATTAAGTAACTCCATGTCGTCACGTCTTGTCACCAGAATGCAGGAGAAAATTATGATGTAGAGATACCTAATTAATCTTACGAAAATGTGGTAAGATTTAAAAGTTTGGAAACGACAGATTAGAATTGCATATTATGCGTTGGAGTGACTATAGACGGTGTTTGGATTGGTTACTGGATTTATCGGACATTTTTATAGCACGCCACTACACTTCGCAGGTCATTACCGCATAGTCGCGTCACTTGGTAACGGCTTCCAACGGCGGACATTCCTCTGCTTCGGGACTCGCATCCTTATAAGGTGGCGACTATCTCGCGCCAACCTCATACTCCCACCACTGTCTTTAGCCGGTAGCTTACTCAGCTCCTACCTTCCAGGCAGGACTGACTTCCTGCCAACCTCCAAATTCATCTGTTAATTCTCCATTGGCTTCCTAGTCAGAGTAACTCATAGTCGGTCGGTTAAATTGCTGCTGGACTTCACCAGCATAGTTATTCCTGGTTCGAGCCTCCTCGAGATCCACGCCCAAGATGTTTGTTCTCCCCTGGACATGTACTTGTTTCGAAATGGGGCGTCCTCTTCCACAAGGGAGGGGTCGGCCTTTCTATGTAGGCGCTATGTTTGTTGTACCGTACTCTCAGCAGGAGTATGTCCGCGCTTTCAAGGCGTACAGGTCACTGTGGACCCTGTGCTCCCTTTGTCACTGCACTGTTTCTAAGTAACACCTATACAAGATATACAGAGGTTTCCTATCAATGCAGGCTTGTGCATTAGGTTATGGAATTACTTATTTCACTGCTCAGAGACTGTAGTTAGTGAGCTGAACGATCGTGGGCCTGACTGCCGCCGAGAGTAAGCCTCCTATACTCTCAATTCTTGGCTTCTTGTCCAGAACGAAGTAGATTTACGTGGTTTGGAATTGCTTCAACCTGTTTCCTGCATAATTTAATTATACTCGTATATTCTAACATGTAAGGAACAATGATAGCCAATACAATTCGCGGTAGCGCCGACAAATCTGTTCTGCAGGCGCTGCAATTTCAGTAGGTGAGCGACTGCCGCATACTCCCAGCTTGGACAGGCTGAAGTCAGTACTAACCTAATCAGATATTCGTGAATTGCAAGTTTACTCTTCGTACTTAGAAATTCACTTTTGAATAGGATTTTTTTTTTGCTAGTGGGGTGGGACTAAGTCCCTTGTACTGCGGGCACTTCTGGCCTATTGTACCAGCCCCAGATGACAGGTGAGGGTGATTGTGGAGCAATTGGTGGAATTAAGATTGGCAGGGGAAACCGCCACAAATTCCACTTGACCAGACCCCGGATCGAACCCGGGCCGCCGCGGTGGGAAGCCAGCGACAAACCGCTTGAGCTATGGCTCGGCCTTGAATAGGAATAGGTCCTTGTGTATACAAGGCATTTGTTAGGAGTCCTTTGGATATGCAGTTTCCAAGAATTCTTGTTTTGAATGATGTGTTAAGCTGGCTGTTGCCTAGCGATGACCCGGGCATTACTGAAGCGAGAGCGTGTTTTAGTTGCCGTGGAAACTATATTGACCGTTGCCTAGTAATTGACTATTCTGGGCCCGCTATTCAAGCTTTCAACCATCATGTCACAATATTATGATATTACTTTAACCTGCGTGCCATATAGGTCTTGTATAAACCGACATTAAGTAGAAACGTCAGTTTACACAAGACCTACATGGTGCCACGTCCCAAAAGATGGCATTCTGCATAATCACCGCCATGAAAACCACAAATCTCACTTTAACAAGTCATGGAGTTCCACCCTCCAGATCAAAATCTAGGTAAGAAAGTTGACCTCTTAAGTGGTAAAGTAATATTCTTTCTTTGGTGATGGAGTGACTAAAGAAATGTTCACACTCTTGTTTTAATGAAATTGTTAGAGGTAAGAGCATGAAAATTTGGTATCAGAATGACCTTTATTGGAGAAGATTCTTCGAAACCAGACCTTTCCACCTCTTAGAACCTGAAGAATTCTGGGATGTAATGCAATGGAAAAGAAAAATAGTTGTCTCTGTAGTCTGTTGAAACTCAACCAACATTTCAGAGGAACATGTCACCTCCATTTTCAAGGACGGAGAATAAATGAAGCAAGAAACCGGCGTGAAGGAGCTGTTAACTGCTTCATACTGGTTTCTTGCTTGAGTTATTGAAGATGGGGGCGACATGTTCCTCCAAAACGTTAGTTGACTTTCAGAGGATTACATGGCATTATATCCTGAAAGATAGAATTCTACATAATCACTGCTGTGAGAAACTCAAGTCCTCCAAGGTGGCAGTTGTTTTATGTAGCCTGCAAGAGTATCTATCGATTTGAAATATATATATAAATACTTTCCTTCTCTGCAAAAAAAGGCAAGAAATCTTGTTGAAGTAACTTTACAGAAAGTGCCTGCTTAATATTCAGTGTAATTTTTCAGTTAATTTCACTTTCTTCCAAATAAGTTAAAAAAGCATGGAATTAATACCACTCCATGACCAAAGCAGTACTATTATAACTTAGAAAAACTTTGATGGCTGGATTTTGGGGACCATTGGCCAGGCAATATTTAATTTTAATAAATATTGTAGAACTTTATTGATACAGTTCCTCTTTGGGTGTTTAAGGTCTATAGATCAGATCATTGCAGGTTAGATACTTGTACTGCTATTATGGAAGAAATAAGTGGCCTGTGGGTAAGTACTAAGGTACAATGTGATCTGTCAGTTTGAATTTGGACAGCCCTGTTGCAAATGATTGCATATATAAAAATAAGGTTATCCATAAATATAATATATGAATGTGTTTTAATTTATTGTGATGAACCTGGAATATTTGGATTGTATCTTCTCTTTAAATTATTCTCTGAGTCATTTGTGATTAGCATTTGTTACGTCCTTTTTCTCTCCCTTAACAATAAGTGAAGTAATTTGATATCAGTTACCATACATTCCAGTCATGGATGGTATCTCCACATTATCATCTTCTGTTAATTTTGTAACAATGATTTACTTGGTCAACAGCAAAAATTAAATTAATAATGAAACTGCAAAACTGACTGTTGTGCATAAATAAATTCCTTTATTTAAAATAAATTGTTACTTGGAGGTATAATTTGTTGCAGTCATTTGAGAAAGTTCTTGTGCAGAACATTCAGTTTGGTTTGTCTCCAAGTTTAACTGAAGCTATAAGATCTATTCCTCGTTGGAGATTCATACAAGCTTCTTTTCCACATGTGATGCACTGTGCAGCAAGTTTACTACATAACAGGTAAATATAATTTCTAATGAAGTTTATGTTTTGTATGCAGCATGAAAGTGATATTTGTGAGGAACAGATGAATCATATACTTTACAACATGTCCTCTCATGATGTTCATGAAAATCATTCACAAACTTCTGTATTCTGATTTATATGCCAATGTCTCTTACATGTATAATAAATTTTACCCTGCATATTTGTTGACCTGCCGTTTATTGAGTAAGCTCCCACCAAAACTCATAGAAAGTCAGAGAGTGAAGAGAATAGCACATTCTGGTCCTATTTATAAATTGTATATTCATGTTTCGCAGGTCACGGTAGCCGAGCAGTCTAAGGCATGCACTGTCTTCGCTTGCTCGGAAGCTGGGATCGTGGGTTCGAATCCCACTCAGGGCATGGATATTTGTGTGCGTTTTTCTGTGTTTGTCTACAGGAAGAGGCCTTGTGACGAGCTGATCACTCGCCCAAGGAGTCTTACCGTATATGTAAGATCTAGTAAACTGAAGTGAAACGGAGAGTTTCATGGAGGTAGGCCTAGGCCCAAATTGGGGCTGTAGCGCCACAGGAAAATATTCATGTTTGCTTGTTATCCCTTCCAGGAAGGACACGAACTTACAAAACCTTGGAGCAGCAGAAACGAAACTGTTATACACATTACATTGGATTATCCTAGATGCTGCAGAAGAGTGTGCTGATGCTGACAATGAAAAAGGGATCTACCATGCATCCCCATTCTACTACCTGTTCTCCATTCCTGCCATTTCAGTAAGTGCGCCAAATGTGGAAATATTATTTTCACTAACTGTCTGACAGCTGACTGATTGAGTCTCCTACCTCCCTCCCTACGTACCTGCCTGCCTGCTTTGCTCCCTGCCTGTCCACCCTCCTGTGTGCCCTCCTGCCCACCCACCCACCTACCTACCCATCCACCCACCTACCTACCTACCTACACACCCACCCACCAAAGGTGCAATTGCAGTACCTCGAAAAGATTCTGTAGTTATCTTTCAGGGCATTCCCTATGTAGGTGGGCATCACCACAACACAGACATCTGGGGCATTTGCTTATAGTTGGCCTATACATGTCTAGTTGTAGCACTGGGTAAGACCAGTCTGAGACCGGTATAACTCTACCTTAAAGGTAATATTTTTAAGCCTATTCAGCTTGAATATCACTTGAGATTTTGTTTCTTGTTAAGGCATAAGTGAATAAAGGGAGGGGTTCCACGTGCGTTTGTCTGTTGGGTGCTTTTTGAGTGTCCGTCATTTGCCTCATGTCAGTGACGTTGAAATTCTCAATGGCATTGGAAGTATTTTCCACTGGCGTGACTGTGGGAAAGTGATGGAGTGCTGCCTCTGTAGGCTTGTCAGAATTTGGGGAGAAGATAAAATAGTGGAGATTATTGTTCTCCAGCTAGGTTTTTAATTCTATTTGGAATAAGGAAAAATTGCCTGATCCGTGGGAAGAGTCTATAATTGTAACAGTTCAAAAGAAGGGTGATAAAGCTGACTGTAGTACTTATTGTGGGATATCACTGCTATCATCTTCATACAAGGGTTGGAACCTTAATAGTGGCAACACTGCTGTAGAGATGCCATGCAATGGAACCAAATAATGTCGCTTATACCACACGATAGTTACATACCTACCTTACCTCAGAGCAAATGGACTCTCCCTTCCCACATCACGTGCATGCACAGTGACGAGAAGAACAGAACCTCGTGTTAGCTGGCGGTCTAATGTAGTGTTGTTACGATGTTTTCGAAACAGGAACAACAGAGTTCGATAAAGATTGAATGTGCCAGAGGCCGTACAGCAGAACAGTGTCATCAAGGTCTTCAAGAGCCTTGCGGGGAATCTGCATTGCCTTACAGAATAGTGGCAAGGTGGGTAAAAGCCTTTGAGAGACGCCAAAATGTGGCAGACATGCGTTGGCCAGGTCGTCCTAGTGTCAGTGAAGAAGAAATACGTGTGTATGCTCTTTCTGCGTTACTGGAGAGTGATCAACGCCATATGATTCATGAGCTGGCCTGAGAGACGGGATTAGCACATACGACTGTGCTTCACATTCTGAAGGAACGCCTGGGCATGAGAAAAATTGAATCCTGATGGGTTCTGCATGGTTTGACAGAAATGCAGAAATGGCTATGATACGACGCTGCTTGTAATCACTTGGAGTGCTATGAGCGCGAAGGAGAGGCTTTCTTATGCCATATCATTACTCTGGATGAAACATGGGCCAAATCATATGAGCCACGAATGAAATGCCAATTGAACGAATGGCATCATTACGGGTCACCAAGAAAATCAAAAGTTCGTCACGACCCCAGCAGTATGAAAGTTATGGTGAGTCTCATGTACAACTTTGATGGCATTATCTTAACGCATACTGTTCTCCAACAGCAGACCGTCAGTGCGCAGTATTACTGTTCATTTTTGGAACACAACCTGCGACCAGCTTTGAGAAAGAAGCGACGACACTTTCTGCAGAACCCACCGATCATTTTGCAGGACAGTGCTCAGCTGCATGCAGTGCAAGCTATGGCTGATTTGTTCAATCAATGGGGCTGGGAAGTGCTGTACCATCCACCATACTCCCCGGACTTAAGCCCTTGTGACTTCGACTTGATTCCTAAGGTGAAGGAACCACTTCATGGCATTTGCTTCAGAACTGTTCCAGAGATTCTTCAGGCAGTAGACCGCTCCATTTGAACTATCAACACAACAGGCACTGCTAAAGGTATCCTACTACTTCCACATCACTGTCAATGGGTTGTACACAATGCTGGTGACTACAGTGAAGGACAGTAAAATTTCGAAACATGCATCTGTTTTGTGTCCGTTGTAAATAAATAGTTGCCACTATTCAAGTTACAACCCTCGTACAAAATTGTATCCAATATTCTTCTCTCCAGGTTGAGTCCATACATAGATGAAATTATTGGGGATCACCACTCTGGGTTTCAATGTAACAGATCAACTACTGATCTGATCTTGCAGTCATCAGATACTGAAGAAAAAATGGGAGTACAATGAAACAGTACATCAGCTATTTGTAGACTGTGATTCAGTTAGGTGGGAAGTACTCATATTGTACAATATTCTCATGGATTTTGGGGTACCCATGAAGCTAGTTAGACTGATGAAAATGTGTTTAAACAAAATGTATTTTAAAGTCTATACAGGTAAATATTTGTCTGATAATTTTCTTATCCACAATGTTCTAAAACAAGGAGATGCTTTATTGCCACTGCTTTTCAACTTTGCTTTAAAATATGCCAGTAGGAAGGTTCAAGAAAATCAGGTGGGAGTGAAATTAAATGTGACATATCAGCTGTTGGTCTATGCTGATGATGTGAATCTACTGGGTGATAAAATGGATACCATAAAGAGAAACACAGAACCTTTAATTGATACTAGTAAGGAGGTTGGTCTAGAAGTAAACACAAAGAAAACTAGGTATATGTTGCTATCTCATCACCCAAATGCAGGGCAAAATCATAACATAAAAATAGATGTTTTGAAAATGTGGCACATTTCAGATATTTGGGAACAACTATAACTAATCAGAAATTGATTCAGGAGGATATTAAGAGGAGATTTAACTTGGGTAATTCTTGCTACCATTCAGTTCAGAACCTTTTGTGTTCTCATCTGCTGTCTAAAAACATAAACATTAAATATATAAAACTATAATTTTGCCTGTGGTTCTGTTTTGGTCTGAAACCTGGTATCTGACTTTAAGGGAGGAACATAGACTGAGGATGTTTGAGAACAGGGTGTTGAGGAGAATATTTGGACCGAAGAGAGATGAAATGGCAGGAGGTTGAAGAAAATTGCATAATGAGGAGCTTCATAACTTTTACTATTCTTCAAGTATAATTAGAATGATCAAGTCAAGGAAGATAAGATGGACAGGGAGGGTACGTAACACAAATGGGGGTGAAGAGGAATGCATATAGGATATTGGTGGGAAAGCCAGAAGGAAAGAAACCACTAGGAAGACCAAGACATAGATGGGGGGACAATATTAAAATGGATCTTAGATAGGATGGGATTGCATGGATTGGATTGATCTGGCTCAGGATAGGGACAAGTGGAGGGCTCTTGTGAACACGGTAATGAACCTTCAGGTTCCAAAAGATGCTGGGAAGTTCTTCGGTAGATGCACAATTGGCAGCTTCTCAAGGAGGGCTCAGCTCCATGAGTGAGTGAAACTCTTTAAATACAGTTTTAAAGGGGCTTTTTCTCAGCTTCTGAAATCAGTTATGTATCAGCGTTGTGTCCAGCTGTTTCCTCAATACTCTTACTTTTCCTTAAAGTCAAGAGGTGTTTCTGTCTACTATCACCAAAATAAGTGACTTCATTATTTGTCCATTCCTCAGAGAACACCATTCCCATCTTTTTCTCCACTCCAAGAGTCCGAAATTCCTAAACCTAATGCAGCCAAGTCTCTTATGTCGATAATTTAGCCAACTGTACTTACCACAAAAGTAATCTTTTGATCGAGAGTCCAGCAATTAGACCAGGTACCATCAATCATCTCTGGCTCTTGAGCAAGGGCACTCTTTAGGAAAAAAAAAAAACGATTCTCTGACACCGTCTCACTGGTTAACTCTTCACTCACTTCCTTACTTTTTTTTTTTAAATTTTATGTGTGGAAGGTGAAAATAAAGTCATAATTATTTTATGTTTTTGCTTCAGGTTGCAAGGCAGTGCTTTTATACAAATTCACTCACTCACATCACCAGTTTTCCTTAGGGTAACTAAGTATACATATCTGCTGCTTAGGGATTTACCAGGAAGTACATGCATGGTACAGGAAACCACAAATACAGTAAATCTATGAAGCAGGTATAAACGAGATCTCAGTTATAGCAAGCGTAACTCAAGGGAAAACCCAAGTGGCATTTCAGAGAGCTGTATTCTAACAACAGCTCTGAACTAATGGTAAACCAAGAGTATGGTTGCATGATATTTTTCTTTCTACAAAATGTTATTATGTGTGGCAATTATTTTTATTGGTAAGCAGCGGTATACCAAAGCATCACATTTAGCTCTGCAGTATGTTTGTTTTTTCACCGTTAGGTACACAGTGCAAGGCTATAATTTAAAAATTTTTGAGGTAAATGATTACAGGAAATCAGTTATAAATTGTACTTAAAACTTAAAATAGTTGTTGTAGATAAACAAAATAACAAATGAAAGAAAGAAAGAAAGAAAGATCTGAAATAGCAGCTTCAAGTTCTTGATTTTATCTGTAAATTATTGAAAAAAATAACTTATTTTCATTCGATTCAGCACAAATTTTTCTCTGAAGAGCAGTGATTTTCAAAGAGAATCGTGAAATATTAACACATAAAAGAAATAAACAAAGCATGAATGTTTGGCTTTTCGCATATTACATGTTACAGTGCGTGTAAAGTATATTGAATTGTGATAAATCATATTCAGAATGAAAGAGAAATTTCTACTGAACATGGGACTTATCTTAGAAATCAAAGTAAAGAATCTCTCACAGTAAAACATGAAGATAAGTAATAAATCCATGTGTGGTGCTAGAAATTCACAGGCCTGAATGGACAGTGCTCCTATAGACTACAGTAGTAGACTCTCTTCCCCACTACAGATGAGATAGATGACCATCAATAAAGGTTTCTTAGTGTCACAAAAAAATGCAGAAGCAATACCAGTCAGTTCTACATATATATGGCTACACAGTTACTGCAGAAAATAAGTGAACTAATTCGGGTTCATGCTACTCCAGTGTTTAGAGAGTTACTGTACTGCCACTGATAAGCACTCCTCTTTTCCCATTAGCCAAGTTGGACCAAGCTTGATGAAAGATGAATGAATGTGGGTATTTTCAGCGCAGTGGACTTGAAACAAAACCAAGTAGAAATTCTGTGAATAAAGTTGGATGGGAACGGCTTTTGACAGGATTGTTCATTTATACTTTAATTAATATTTATACCTATAAAACTGAAGGACTTAGACAAGGGGATAGTACCCAAGCTTCATATTTAGGTGGTTGTGGGCTAAAATCTTGAACAAAAGATTGACCATCCTGTCTGAAAATTTTCATTCTTTTCTTCAGTCCTTGTGGTCAAATACTAAGATATCACTTTATCTTAGGTCATTGTTATTTTCATCCACATTCTTTTTCAATTCATCATTCACAATTAATCCAACCATTTAACGCTANTTGTCGGAAAGTTCGATGTGTCTGCCCACCCTCACTTTCTCTACTTGCTGACGTGACTGTCCTGGAAGAATACGACCGCGGGCTGCAAGAGGAGCGTGGTTTTTATGCGAAAACAAGGGTGAAGCCATTAGGGTTGTGAACTTGTTTTATGAATCCAGGGGAGGCAGCAGTGAAATTGTGACAAAAATTATGGACATTGAACGTAATTTAGAAAGTGTGTACTGGGCAAGTAACAGGAAACAGATGAAGATAACTGATTACTGTACTCGTATCTAGGTACAGTAAGGCACAACAATTGATGTAATCTACTGTAATTTGGTGAGCAGGCCTACCTTTAATATACAGAATTAGTGCGGTGTGTATTGTCAGTGAAAAGCGCTGTAATATGTCTTTGATATTACACATTTGGGCAATTCCACATTAATGTTATGTTAGTCTGTACTTAACTACGTATTTCACTAAAAAATGCAACATTTTAACTCGGTTTTTGGTAGATTTTTACGTGACTAACATGAGGCTACTGTGGAAGTGCCCATTTCGGTTACAACGACATTCGTTTATTACGACACTATTTTCAGGTCCCTTTGGTGACGTTATAACCAAGTTCTACTGTATCTATAATTATTGAGTAATGAATCAGTTGGAAGCCAACAGTGGCCACTAGGTGTCATGAGGATCGCAAATTTTAGTTGTTTATTTAACTTTATGCTGATTCACAGTCGTTCCCATTCACTGCACTATAAATTTATTGTAGTGCTGCATTATTTTTAAGTTTTAATTTGCTTCAAATTTTTAAATTATCGTCATGCTCTGTAAAGCTTAATAAATATGATATATAAATAAATATAAGCGAAAAACATTTTACTGAAGCTGAAGCAACATTTGTGTTCTTCAACAGCTCTTTGTATATCTTTTTGCACCAATCTGCCACCATCTGAAAGAATCAGATTTCCAGAACTACTGTCTAGAAAATGGATTGAAGATTTGGCAAGCATTATGGGATTATCAGCATCCAGACACTGCATGTTTCACTGCTCATGTAAAACCTAAGCCGCGAGCTCTTTGGGGCAAGATGTTGAAATGCCCTCAGCCACAGTTTGGTGATGTTTTCCTTGGTCGTAAGTATCAAAACTTACATGTGTAATTACAGTAGGTCTGTACAGTTATTAGAATTGTTGCTGAAACATTATGAAAATTATGAATTTAGAATTTTACTGCCTTTTTAACCAGGTTCTTATTTATACAATAGGAAAAGGTTCAACTGAGGAAGGTTTCTTGGGCACCGAGAGTCCACCAAGCCAGTCAGCCAGTGTATCGTTTTCTGAACAGGCAGGAGTTATACGTGTGGAGTGTCGACCAGGAGATGAAGAGGTTAGAAACTAAACATTATGTGAATATAAGATTGAATCCATTTTTTTCCTTCAACAGCAGGATGGCCTATGTTCTCTAGTAGCATTGATTTTAATGGCCAGCAGATTTCGTCATAAAGTTTTAGGTGGCTTTCATTGTTAACTTAGGAACTACTGCTATAGTGCACTGTTTTGTTGTAAATGATAATTTATCCTTATATGCCCTGGAACATGTTGAGACATAATGTACTGAAATTCCAGCAAATCAGATGTTTAATTGAACATTTTCACTGTAGAAAAATAATTTAGAATTCTCTTTCCAGAGCAATGAGAAACACTTTCAGAGACATACGGATGATCTTTGCATTGATCTCGTGCATGAACTAGGATGATCACAGAATAGTATGCTTGACAGTTTGGTACAGGGATATTTTATTCAAGCAGAAAGGCACAAAACGAAATTGGTGTCTTGCCTACAGAAATTTTATATTGTCTTTAGCACTGAAGTCTTGTAAAACTTTATAAAATGTGAATGGTGTTTTGGCGTTGTGCAAGGGGCACAGTTATATGCCGTGTGCAATTGTTTTGTTTGTAAGTTTTCTTACCAAGTCGTCATACTAAGGCTACAGCAATGTATTAGAGTGAAGTTTAGTTACATGTGCGGCAGGAGATAACAATATNGTGTTTTGGCGTTGTGCAAGGGGCGCAGTTATATGCCGTGTGCAATTGTTTTGTTTGTAAGTTTTCTTACCAAGTCGTCATACTAAGGCTACAGCAATGTGAAGTTTAGTGAAGTTTAGTTACATGTGCGGCAGGAGATAACAATATTCCCCATTGGCTGAAATACATTCCCCCTAACCTCTGAACAGATTCTGAATGACAGCTGTAGATTTTCTTTGCATGCATGGAATACTCGAAGCTGAATGTTACCTCATTGTTCTTCTTCTATGTGTGGATTGGTTTAATAGGCTTATCTTTTAATATTATCACAAGATCAAATTATGTGGAATAAAATCATCTACAAGATAATCTCAGATTGTAATCCTTTCAGCAGACAGTATTCAAGCTTTGTGTGGAATGTATAACAGTATGCATAGCTGCTGAGTCTAAAGGACTGCCAAATTATATTTTCTTTATCTCTTAGCTGCCTGAAAAATGGTCGCAGTATTCACATTATATATCCATCAGATATTTTATTTTTGCATAAAACACCGGGCCAATATTCATCCTTACAATGACATTCTACCACACACACTTCTCACATCATGGACTGGAACTTTGTGCATAAAATGTTGATTTATTGTTCTCCATTATCAGTTGTGTTGTGTATTCACATGTCAACTCTATTAAACCAAGCCTTGTTTGAAAAGTATGTTAACTCAGACTCTTTGAGTTATTTAAGAACCCCTTTTTAGGTGTGTAGGTTAAGTAGCATTGATGGATAGGATAATTGTGTAGGATTTTTCCAATTGCTGTGAGTGAAATATTTATGATCTGTTCCAGCATTTATGTATAAAGACTGAATGAAACCCCGAAAATCTCACTGACTGAGGATATGTGGACGCATGGCCAGTGTTTTAAACTGGGACCTGCTAAGCATGAAGCAGGAGTACTAACCAACTGATCGTACTGTTTGTCAAAAAGTGCTGGAAATACTTCATTGTAAATACTGCTTGAGAAACTGAGAAATAGATGAGAGGATCATATTTAAATAAATTTAAAGGAAATAGATTTACCATGGCAGTTTGGATGAAACCAGCTGAAGGTATCATTAAATACCATGTACTGGTTAATACTGTCAGAAATTAGTGACCAGACATAGGTTCGGATTGATCATTTAATTTAATGAACACTTGTTACTATTAACTACAGATAATAGCAACACTTTTATTCTTCTTTAGAATCAATAAATAACTACAGCATGTCTTCCCATATCTTTCTAGTTTACTACATGTTCACATACCGATTGCTTCATTACAGCCTCCATTGATGTTTGCCAGCTCCTGTCTGGGTCAGGCTTGGTAAATTGTTGTTGGCCCTCGCTAACAGAGTCATTCTCGGTTCTGAGCTGCACAGGGCTCATCATGATATGTGTTTTTTGAATAGTTCTGGTAGTCATGCAACTACGGAGAGTTTTTTTTTTTAACTTTGTGTTTTGCTTGCTGCAAGGGGCATAAGAGTTTTGCCGATGAATCAGCATGCTTCGTGGCTGATAACTTTAGGAATGAAGGGAAGTAATTAACTTGTAGACAGCTTGGTGGCATTATGTTTCACGGTGAGCACTGTGGTTTGTTTATGATTTGTCAGCAGTAAGCAGTAGTTATGAGATCCTTCTGGAACTTCACAACATACACCAACATTCACTGATTGGAATGTGACTTCAATCTAACCTTTGAGGACACACTGTAGAAACCAACTGCAAAAATGAACACTGTTAGTTGGATCGTGCGGATGAAAGGCATGCTTTTGTTACCGTTGTTCTGTAGTGGCTAAGCTTTGGAAATTATGTTGCTGTTATTGCACCAGACGTTGATACTCCAGTCTCTTAAGCAAGACGTTCCAGTGATTTTCTAGGTATATGTACAAGTATGTCCCCCATGTCATCCAACTTCTCCTCAGTAAGCAGTCGGCGCTTACATTTTTGTTTCTTGTCTATTAAGAGTCTCGGTGTTATAAGTATATTCACCAAATTGTGAATTGCTTGTCTACTGGGAACTCTTTCATCACAAAATCTACGTCAAAATATTTGCTGACCCTTTCTAGCAGATCCGTATTTCACATCACCGTCATACCGAAATACACCATGATGTACTGCCCAGCTCACTAGTTGTAACCGAGAACAAATGGTTAATGCGGCTGATAACTGCTGCCTACTGCTTACAAATCATTAATAATCTCCCATGTATGAACCTCAGTGCTCGCTGTGAAACAAAATGCCGCTAAGCGCTGCACAGGTTAATTACTTCCCTTCATCCCTAATGTTATTGGCTATCGGGCACGCTGATACATCGGCAAGATTCTTACGCGCTTCGCAGCAAGCTACACAACGGTCTCCATGAAAGAGCTGTGAACTGGCCAACAAAGTTAAAAAACTCTCTGTATCTCTCTCGTACTGGGATATCATAGCATAGCGGTAAATTGATGCTCACGCTCACCAGCACAGTCATTCTTGGTTTCGGGCCTGGTTGGGATGCATGACGATTTTTTGGTCATTCCAAGACCACATGTATGTTTCGAAATGGGGCCTCCTCTTTAATGAGAGGAGGGGTTGGTTTTTCTGAGTAGGCACCAAATTTGTTGCACTATAATTCTGCACTCTCACAGCATCCATGTAAGGGCATTCATATTTTATGGACACCATTCACATTTTATCACTTTACCAAAATAAATAATACTGTAGCATGAAGACCCATTTCTAAGTAATAACTCAGTAAACAACGGCCTTTGCTTGGTAATGGCTGCAAGATATTTTTAACATGCACCAATGGACTAACAAGGAAGCGGTGTTCTCTACGCTGTCTGTGCAAATGCTGCATGGTGCAGCAGTATTAGAGCTGTTGGAAGAAGTTTTCTGAGTGGTCCGTACCGAGGTGTTATAAGCAGGACAGATCTTGACTTTGGTTAGTTGTGAGACAGTCACTGGCCAGTAAGGACGTGAACATGGAAGTTGAAGGATTTATGGCATTGCAAACTGTTACCAGGCAACGACTAGTGATGACAGTAGAGACCAAGACTAAGAAGACTTAGTACATGCTATAGTGAAATGTTGTTTGTGTGAATTAGTGATAGTGCTATAGTTACTTGCAGTTATGATCTGTAAGTGTTCAATAAAACCAGTTACCAATCCAAACCCCATCTGTAGTCCCTCCATTGCGTGACAATATTTATATGAGATATTCAGATGACCTCTGTCAAGGTAGGCTTATGCGGGGACACATCTCAGATGATGGCATACTTCGGCGCCAGTATAATTTACATTATTTACAAGTGGGATGTTCTATTTGTTTAGTTGTAGTACTTCCTTAGGGGCTCTAAGTGTTCTAGAGAAATAGGTCACCCGAATTCTACCTTCATTGTGCCTTATGTTTCATCTCTCATGCCGTGACTTCACTATAGTGAGGCTGCATTCCAATTTTCGGAGAACAGGATGTTCACACTTATCTGACGCATATATACACATATTGTCCGCAACAGAATAAGAAGAGTTTTAGGTGATTTGGGGCGTCATTTGTATACAAACTGTAAAGTAGTGTGGCAAGGACGGAACCTTGAGGCCAGTATAATTTACATTATTTACAAGTGGGATGTTCTATTTGTTTAGTTGTAGTACTTCCTTAGGGGCTCTAAGTGTTCTAGAGAAATAGGTCGCCCGAATTCTACCGTCATTGTGCCTTATGTTTCATCTCTCATGCCATGACTTCACTATAGTGAGGCTGCATTCCAATTTTCGGAGAACAGGATGTTCACACTTATCTGACACATATATACACATATTGTCCGCAACAGAATAAGAAGAGTTTTAGGTGATTCGGGGTGTCATTTGTATACAAACTGTACAGTAGTGTGGCAAGGACGGAACCTTGAGGCACACCTGTTACTATTCCTCTTGGTGTAGAAAATTCGTCTCCTACCGATTCTTTAAATCTTCTAGTAGTGAGGAAAGCAATTAACTTAATGAATATTCTGTTTCTGGCAGTTTATGCAGTAATCCAGAGTGCCATTTTGTGTCAAGGGCTTTCTGGATATCCAAGAATACTGCAGCTCTCAACATACTATTTTTGAAATTAAGAGTGATTTGATCTGTCAGCATTGAAATGCCATACTGCGATGTGCTTGAAAGCCAAATTGACTTCCATTTAGCAAGTTCCTTTACTCCTTTACTTTTGATTGCTCTTAAAATCAGCTTCTCCAATAGTTTGCGCTTCTTGCTCTGGTAGTTTGGTTAATTGCTGCTGGTCTTTGCCAACACTAATTCTTGGTTACAAGTCCTGTGGGATGCATGATCATATTTTACTCTCTCATAACTCTGGGAGTTGCTGTCCCATCCACTCCAATCCAGTAAATTGCTGCTGGCCCTTGCCAGAATAGTCGTTCTTGGTTTCGGGCCGTGTCAGAACCCATGACCATATTTTTGTTGTTTTGAAATTTCTGTGTGTTTTGAAATGGTATCTCCTCTTCGACAAGGTGTCTGGCTAGTACTTATCACCCACTCTGCTGGTGAGTGACACTGCTAACTCTCACTCACTCACTCACTCACTCACTCACTCACTCACTCACTCTCTCACTCTCTCACTCTCTCCCCCCCACCCCTCTCTCTTTCTCTCTCCACACCACATTAGTCAGTCCAGGTAAACTGATGCTGCCTGTCTCCAGCAGAGTAATTCTTTGTTCCTAGTCCTGCATGTCTCATGACCATATTTTATTGTCTAGACGATCCTGGGAGTTGTGCAACTCTCTTCACAACTCCCTACCTGCCTGCTAAATTGCTGCTGACTCTTGCCATCACAGTGATTCTTGGTTCCGAGTCCTGACAGTGTTTGAAACCAAGAATGACTATGCTGGCAAAATGACCAGCAGCAATTTACTGGATTGGATTGGAATTAGTTAGTTAGAAGTTATGAGTCAGCCCAGTAGGGGGAGTGGTGGGTATTGCTGTCTTTCGCTGTATAGCTTCATTGTGAACCGACTGTTGATTGCATGTTTATTTCCACAGAAATGCTTTCTAACAAGCCGTTGTGTAACTATTGTTGCTCACTGATGCTTCTCTGATTCCAGTATTCTGGTTTTTAGGGGCAGTGTCACAGTCATGCACTTAGAACAAATAAGAGGCAAACCATACTTGTGTGAGAGTAATGCGCCTTCATAACAGTTAATTTGTAGGTCATAGAGTCTGAACTGAAATTAAATGTACCTCCCCCCAGGAATGTTGAAATTCTCAGTAGGTGTTATGTAAGATATATTTCATACATTTTCAAACAAGGTTGAAAAGGCTTAACACTATTAAAACTTCCATTTTTGTGTTAAGTGAAAGGGTACAGATATGCTGATCTAGATATTATACTGAAATGCAGCAGTGTTGAAAGATATTTAAAAGAAGTTACCCCTTTTCAGAATAATTGGTTGTCTTCACCTAAGGAAACAATTTTCCCTGAAACAATTCCAGAAGAGAGCTCCAGTACTGAAGAGGAACATGTTGTAAGTTTTTATATTTGAGTTCCTTATGGCAGTGATGATGGAGGGTACTGTCTTCTATGATGTGGCTCTAGTTCAGTAGAAGTTCTTTGACATTTCATAGGAATGTACCCGCCTGCTTCTTGCTTCTTCAACCCTGAAGATGGAAGTAATACATTTTATGAAATGGTGAACTTTTACAGGACTAAATGGCCTCATATCCCAAAAAATGGTACTCTTCATGTTGTAAGTTTATTATATCCCTGTGAGAGTATTAAAGTATTTTAATTGAGATATGTACATGGGAGAATAGTGAAGATAAAAAGAAAGGATTTTTTAAATTTGCATTTTTATATACAAATCCTCACTGTTGGTTTGTTGATATTCTACAATGAACCTTCCATGGAATCCTTCACAAGACACTGTACATAGTTCAGCCTTCTGCTTCTTAATCCTTTAGATATATTAATGCAAATTATGCAAGCAGAATTGCTGTTTAGTGTATTTTCCAGATATCATACCTATGTTATTAAAAGTTTTCATTCTTTTAATTTCCTCCGTATTATTTAGTCTTAGGGAAAGAGTATTTGGCATCTGTTGGTGAAATGTTAGTACTTGCTACAACTTTTACCAAAGCAGAATATCTATAACCATGCAAGGAGTAGCGTTCACTTCTTGTTCTGAAGTATTTAACTCTCAGGCGGAGTTCTGTATACATAAATATTTGGAGTTTGCAAGAATTATTTTTCAGTTCCAGATTAGTTTGACAGAAGAATTTTGTAGAAACTAAAAGTAGAATGAGAAATTTCTTTAGTAGCCAAAACCGTTCAGTGCAATCATAATTTGTAACACTGACTACTTTTTCACAGTACAATAAAGGCATCACTTGAGCATCATCTCAGGGCGAAGATGATGATAGTGCACCTTGACAGAATTGCGCCATATGTAGGAAGTGCTCGGAAGGAGAAACCTTGAGAAGGGTTCAATGTATTTGGAAATGAGTGTGTCCCCATCATATGGCCAGAATGCACCTCTCTTTTGGTAGAAACATCTGGGCTTTGACCCCTTCTGTGTGTTTCCAAAGACTGCTAAAGGCTGAGGTTGACTGAAAAACTGGAAAATGACTGCAGGTGAAAAGTTGATACAGGAATTCCACAGCAAAGCATCTGAGTTCAGAAGTGGCGTGGAGATGTGTTTTGGAGCACCAGATATGAAGTAGAAAATGCCCAGATTTCAGCTGAGTGCGACGTAATGAAGACAAGCAGGTAGATTAGGGAGCATGTGATGAAATTGTAAAGGATAAAGACAAACTGAATTGAAGATGGTAAGTATCTAAACGTTACAACTGGTGTCAGAAATGGGATCTAAAATGCATACGTCATGACATGCAATATGAGAGTAGTTAAAGGAGTTGAGTGCTGGTGGCCTGCCAGAAAAGTATTAGGAGATGAAATAAGTATCATGAAAGCTGGCTAAGTGACTGAGATCACCGTCCTGCACTCAGCTTGACAATACTCCTCCATTCTTGAGGGTAGGATTATTACAAGCGATGGTTTAAAACATATGCAAGAAAACGCCTTCGTCGCATTTGGTAAGGTACAAGGTGTTCTGTGCGCTCAGAATGAATTTTATAGCATTTCCAGCATCTTGTATACATGTGTATGCAATACAGGCAGATTATTTGCGGCAAGAGTCGAAGCACGCCCTTTCCGCAGTGCGCGAACAGCTCTCGAACACTGCATCAATTACCTCCTTTCCTGCTCGGTTGGCTGTGGCCATTTTGATAATGTACCAACGTCGTTAGTGAAGTTTACATATGTCAGTTGAGTCTGTTGAGGTGTACCACTATCACATTTGCACTGGGATTATGTTATATTCTATACATATTGTGACATATTGTTGATCTGAATGATAACGCTGGAGGGGCATTCCTAGGATGGCAGCTTAGATGTTTTCCGTCTGACCCAGGTTGGGCTGTACCACCAGATTTGGTATTCTTGTTGGAATATATGAAAAATATGAAAAGACAGGGGGTAATAGAGAAATCAAACAGTCTTTCATCTTTACCTGTCACACTTTATAGGAGGAAGAATTGAGAATTTGGGTTCTCTATAGACAACCGACTGCTGATCAAGGTTATGAATAATGACTACTTTTCGCTGACATGGACTGACGACGTTTTGGATACTCTCATCTAGGTCAGGTGCTTCTCAACAAAGATTTCAAGAACTACTATTGGCATGTTGCCCTGCAACCCAGTGAGAAGAAAGAGACAGCATCCTCTACTGGACAGGAGTAGTGGCCAGTCACATTTATGTCCCTGAACTTCAGCAACGTTGTGACAATATTTTAACGGCTGCTTGTATCTGTCCTGTTGTGTGATACTCTTTAATCTTTCCTACTATAACTGGCTGGTGGGATCATTGTCGGTTGGATGTTCCAGAAGAAGTTTGATATCTACAAGAGGTGTTCCTTACATTCTGAACTACTCACTTCAAGCTGAGCCCAAGAATTGCCAGCTATTCCAATAGAATATGCAGTATGTGGGACGTATTTCATTGCCTAAAGGAGTGGCTACGGACCCAGAGAACCAGAAGGCTGTATGGGAGAGATCCCTGTGGAACGGCAGCCACAGATTCAGAAGCTTCTATGGCCTGTGTACTTGCCGCTGACACGGCATACTGAAAATAAACGTGCTTTCTATTGGTTTCAAGAAAAAAATATTCACCTTCTGATCCATAGGAGAGTCCTTGTAGGATACCTGTGTCCGGGTGAGAGGTTTCATTGTTGTCATTGATGCTAGGACTGTTGGGATTGAATGTGTGCTGTCACACATCAAGGATGGCCAGGAGCATGTAGTAGCCTACTACAGCAGGATCTTATCCAAAGCTGACAGCAACTACTGTGCAACCAATAGCTTAAGAAATCTTGGAAGAGTAGACCATCGGCTGGATCCAGCATCTCCAGTAGTACAGTTTTGGATTCAAATAACTTCAAAGGTGGAAAGATGCCAACATAGATGCTCTCTCTAGTAGATTGTGCTCAGATCTATAAGTCACCTACGAGAAAACTTAACAATGGTCAGGGAGCTGGACGGTGCTGCCACTGCGGATGGCAGAACCATACCTCCCTGTGGATGGAGCAGCTTCTTGTCAACTATTTTATGGGAAATATAGTTTGAAGACTGTCCCGAGTAGGATATTGCTGACAGCAGCCCCTCTACAGGCTGAGTGGACCGTCAAGGTGGTGAGGAATGTTCTGGTGGAGCGCTATGGACGTTGGTTGACAGGCGACACAGGACAACACGAGTAGTCCAGAGCAAGGTGAAGAAAGGATGCAAGAAATCCATGGAGGATCTTTAGCATATCCGTGTGTCAATGGAGCCCTGAACAATGTTATATAGCGACATTACTGACTAAATGCGAGGAAAAAATTAAGAGCTGCTGCCATCAGTGCGACACTTGCGCAGTAAGCCCTAAACCTGGATCTGAGGCCTTGTGCACCAGTCTGATGTTGGTGCACCAACCAAGAGGTTTGCCATTGGCATCGCAAGGAAGGAAATCGATACCTTGGTTTCCATAGACTACTTCATCAAATGGCCATACCTAACCATGAGTTTTCGACAGTGGCTGGGGTTACAGCGACCAATTACTTCTACCGGTTTTGGGTGCCCAGACGGTTACTTCATTGATAACAATGACTGGCATTGTGGCAATGCCCAGAATACGCGCATGCAACAGTAACAAAGGTATTTCAAGAAGTGTTTTGTTTGTGGTCTGCGCCATGTCCATTACTAGGTAAGGGGTTGCTACACACATTCCTGCAGAAGGAAATGCGTGGAACAATATTACCCCTGTTGTTAGGCAACAGCGCAGTAAACAGGCTTTGAAAACAACACAGGCTGTGTTTTCTTGGAGTTGGTGGAAAGTGGTTTTAAGAGTAGTTTTATAGCTGGCAGTTCAGTTCAGTAGTTGAGTCAGTTCAGGGTTCAGCTGTGGAGTGTTAACCAGCGAACAGTGGAAGCTAAGATTCGTTACAAGAAAACGTCTAGTGAAGACACGGCAGAGGAATGGCGATTGTTGGTAGCTGTTACCAAGTAAAGACTGGTGAAAGTAGATTGAGAGGACTTAGTGTGGAAATCAGCAGTAGTGTAATAATTATTTGTAGTTGCAATCTGGAAGTGGTCAATAATTCGATTCACCAGTCCACTGTATTGGTCATTAATGTTGCTGTAGCAGACTAAGATTTGAGGTTCTTATGATGGTGGTAGATGGTATTTATCTATTTATGGTTTGTTTAATGAAAATATCTATCTCATACTAAATATGGTTGAATGATGGGATGATTAGTGAATAATGAATTGGGAAGGATGTGGACAGAAGCACTCATGGCTGAATTTGAGGTTTCTTTCCAGCATTTGCTAGGCGGGACTAAGGAAAATCATGAACGTCCCTGTCCAGGATATTCAGGATACCAGCTCAGATTCAAGCTGGGCATCTCCTGAATGCAAGTCAGATAGCTTTGCCACTTGAGTCAATTTGTTTGGTTTGGTAGATAGATACCAATGTTTCTACCCTGAAGATGAAGATGATAGATTCCTCTGAAACTTTGGTACATACTTGCAAGAATACAAAGTGTTACATCCGAGGATACCATAATCATGAAATCACTGTGAATACAGTAAATGGGGGGAAATTAATCATATATGTTGAGGGAAATTGAGTGAGGAAGGCAGTTGACTTTCAGATTATTTTGTCTTTGACCTCCAGTTATTTTGCATATTGAAGTGCCAGACATTCTGGAACAAGCAGAAGAACTAATTTTTGTATTGATATTTGTTCTGTGCAACCATTGCTATTCGCATATAGAATTACGGAATTACTTGAGTTTTAGTGGTTAGAAGAAATATGAATTGGAGACGAAATAATAGAGCCAACACTTTAGGTTAAAATAATAAGATTTAGGGTTGATCTTGTAGACTGTTTTACCACCCTTTAATTCATTTGTTATTTTGTATCATCCAGGGTCATCATGCACAATTGGTTTCCCATATTTAAAATTGTTTATTCTATGCACCAATATTTGGAATTTATATTTACATTTTTTTTATTATTCTCTTAAAGGTGATTTTTCGTCTCCCATCTCTTCCTGAGTCTGATACTGTGAAAGAGTCTTCAATTTATATGGTAAGTGTTTAAAAGTGTGATACAAAATGTCTGACAATGCAGTATTAATGAAATTAACTTTGCGAAAGTGGTTAAATTTCTGTTAATAAAGGCATACATTATTGCACGAAACTATATAAAATGTGTTATATATTTACAGTCATACATAATACTAACAGGTCACTGGTGAGATAAGATTGATGATATCAAGGACAGGTTCTACAAAGCACTGGAACTTGTATTTGATGAATTCCCAAAGTACCATATAAAAATTTTGTTAGGAAATTTCAGTGCCAGAGTATAATTAGAATGATCATGTCAAGGAGGATGAGGGGGGAAAGGGCATGTAGCACGAATGGGGAGAAAAGGAATGCTTGTAGGATTTTAGTGGGAAAGCCAGATGGCAAGAGACCGCTGGGTAGACCAAGGCGTAGGTGGGTGGACAATATTGAAATGGATCTTAGAGAGGTAGGATGGTATGGTATGGATTGGATTTATCTTGCTCAGGATAGGGACCAGTCACAGTCTTTTGTGAACACGGTAAAATGCTGTAGCTGCACAATTGGCAGTTTCTAAAGAAGGTCTTAGCTCCATGAGTGAGAGGTTTTTGTATTTACATGCAGAATACAACTATACCGACATACATACATACATACATACATACATACATGTGATCCATACACAGACACATATAAAAGCATATTGCACATATACTTGTACATCGTGTGTACACTCACTCAGATATAGTAAGCACACATGCATTCACACCATGTAGAGACACACTACATGCACACACATACCCATGTGGGCTGTAAGCAGATGTAAACAGATGCGCTGCTCACTCATTCTCCCTCCCTCCCAACCCCTCTCTCTCTCTCTTTACCCCCCCCCCCTTCCTCCAAATCTCTTCTTCCCCACCCGACCTATCCCTCCACAAC